TATATATATATAGGATAGCAAAGACTCAAATACCGATTTCCCATACGATAGGCCCTATGATGAGAGCCCGTGTTATATGCCTAAATATTCGAAAACAGCATCACTGGGGATCGAACCCGTGAGCTGAGGGGGCATACTATGAACCCCGCCAACCAACACGTCACGGCTTGTGTCATATATATATATATATATATTCTTAATCAAATGATATAAATAATAAATAATAAATTATCTTGATAATAAGACCAAAACAACATAAGAAAACAAAAAAATAAATAAATTATCATTGTTAATTTCTAAACAAGCCATCTTTAGTTGCCTAAACAACAATATATTTCTTAAAATAAATAAAATTAAGAAAATTATATAAAGTATCAATCTCGAAAAAAACATAATTAACAGTTATTTCTATTTCATTAAATTGACTGAGTGATGAACAAATGGTTGAACAATAAAAGGTTGGGATTCACATTTTCTTAACATTATTAGAGGTAGGTAGTGTGTTATACCTACTAGAAATTATTAAAGACCATTAGTGATAAAATTAGCTCAACATAACCATATTTTATAAGACCACTGATGCAAGAACATGTGTTATCTAATTAACGCCTCAAAATACTTTCAATTATATATATAGCAGAAATGTTGAGAGTTTGAGTTGATATTCGTGTATTAGGGTTTAGTTATTGAGTATGAGTATTCACTGACTCGTTTATTTCATAATTTTTTTTAATTGACTTTTCTGGTTTAATTAAATTATTAAAAAATAAGCGATAGACGAGAAAATATTTATAGAAAACGCGAACAACAATCAACGAGGTAATTTTAATTATATTGCTTTAATTTATATGATTTAGGGTGCATTTGAGGCAGCTTATCATCTGAGGCGTCGTTTTGAAAACGTCGCCTCATCGTTTGGATCTTGCGTTCGGACCGTTGTGCGGAAATAACGTTTTTATTTTAAGTTAAATGCGGGTCGCAAAGCGGCTTTCTCTTTTGCTCTCAATTAAAATTCGAAACTTTCTCAGTTATTCAGCTTCTTTTGGTGAATTAGATGACAAAGATGCTTGTCATTTTCTTTTGTTGGCTGATGCTTTAGGGTTGCTCTCAGGCTGCTACCCAAGAGCTATAGATCTCTGTTTTTTTCTTGGAACAGTAATGAAATGGGGAAAACGGTTTATAAAATATGCAGATATATATATATATATATATATATATATATA